TTTAGTCAGTAAGAGTCTGACTCTCCTCGCCCCACCCACGGCAGGAGTCGATATTAATGATTTCCCCCTCTTATCTGTACCATCTTCAGATATTATGAAAAAGATGTGTCATTTAAGTATTGCCCTCTATAATAAATTCCTATCCTCCTATTCAACTATTATATTCATGTTAGCCACCTAATGTAAAGAGGTACGATGGGGCTAATATATCTATATATACAAAAGAAAGTCGTGTTAGTTACTCCACTTGTAACCCAAGAACGGCTGAACCGATTTAGCTGAAAATTCGTGGAGAGGTAGCTAAGAACTGGGAGAAGGACATAGGATAGGATAGGATAGAGTAGGTAGTGTAGGGTAGGTAGAGGAGGGTAGGTAGGGTAGGGTAAGTAGGGTAAGTAGAGTAGGGTAGGTAGAGTAGGGTAGGTAGGGTTGGTAGGGTAGGAAGAGTAGGGTAGGTAGAGTAGGGTAGGTAGGGTAAGTAGAGTAGGGTAGGTAGAGTAGGGTAGGTAGGGTAAGTAGAGTAGGGTAGGTAGGGTAAGTAGAGTAGGGTAGGTAGGGTAAGTAGAGTAGGGTAGGTAGAGTAGGGAAGGTAGGGTAAGTAGAGTAGGGTAGGTAAAGTAGGGTAGGTAGAGTAGGGTAGGTAGGGTTGGTAGGGTAGGAAGAGTAGGGTAGGTAGAGTAGGGTTGGTAGGGTAGGAAGAGTAGGGTAAGTAGAGTAGGGTAGGTAGGGTAAGTAGAGTAGGGTAGGTAGGGTAAGTAGAGTAGGGTAGGTAGAGTAGGGAAGGTAGGGTAAGTAGAGTAGGGTAGGTAAAGTAGGGTAGGTAGAGTAGGGTAGGTAGAGTAGGGTTGGTAGAGTAGGGTAGGTATAGTAGGGTAGGTAGAGTAGGGTAGGTAGAGTAGGGTAGGTAGGGTAGGGTAGGTAGAGTAGGGTAGGTAAAGTAGGGTAGGTAAAGTAGGGTAGGTAGAGTAGGGTAGGTAGGGTTGGTAGGGTAGGAAGAGTAGGGTAGGTAGGGTAGGTAGAGTAGGGTAGGTAGGGTTGGTAGGGTAGGTAGAGTAGGGTAGGTAGGGAAGGTAGAGTAGGGTAGGTAGAGTAGTGTAAGTACTCAAATGACGGGAGCGACGCCGCGGGTAAGAGCTAGTCTTTGATAAAAACCTATAAACAAAATCCTGTATTATTTTCTGTCAATGATAAATAAACTAACTAGCTGTAGGTACTTTTTATATTTCTCTGAACCAAATATTAGTGTTACACTGTTTTTTTTTTTTTTTTTTTTTATATATCGTTGCCCCACATTAGGATTTTCTCCTGTATCGTGGGTGCGTTTACAAACATACAATTTCACATGCACATCACACCCAGACCCGGAACAACAATCTGTGGATCACACAAAGAGTTGTTCCGTGCGGGAATCGAACCCGCGACACGTTGCGCGGCAGCCAGTTGCCCAGCCACCGCGCCAACCGTGCAGTCAACACTGTCACTGTTCTCACATAATTGAACCAACTGTTTGTATAAGGAATCTGTATGTGTCACTGATTTAAAAAACAGTAACCATGGAGTTTGTTGCTCGTTCTTCTCCATCGGAATCTACACTTTGGAACGAGCAAATAGCTTCACTAAGAGGACCGACCGACAGACTGACACTTTATATCTTTAAAATTTTATTTGATATGTATTCAAAAGTGCCTGTAAGGGTCTAATTGAAATAAATGATTTTTGACTTTATACTGACGAACAGACTGACGGACTATTATTCAAGTTTGACGTTTCACAAGTACCTGTATTGGTGGGAAGTTGGAAGGAATGTAGAGAATAGGTTTTCTTAGCTGTATCTCTATTTATAAATGTAAGCAAACAAAATTACTCCACTAATAACCTACAGCATATCAAACAAATGAATGTACTACTAAATTATTACTTGATTACCTAAACATAGTGTACAAAAATCTATCAGAATCTACACTACATATACGAACTTTGAACCTACATTACTCACCGTAAAACTAAAATACTGATTTGCACACAAATTATTCAATACTAGCGACCCGTCCCTGCTTCGGATGCAATGCTGATACTAAATTGCTCCATTATTTAATGGATGTTATTATACATATAAACCTTCCTCTTCAATCACTCTGTCTATTAAAAGCAACCGCTACAAAATGCGTTGCGTAGTTTTAAAAGTTACAGCATACATAGAGATATAGTGCAGAGAAAGCGACTTTGTTTTATACTATGTAGTGATAACTACGGATTTTTAAGTTAGGTTAGAATCAAGACAAGAAAATAGATCTACTTTTAGTCAACAGATAGTCATTCAGTATAACATTTAAGCTTGGAACATCCAACAGTATACTGGATCTATTTGAGGAGCAATCTAAGAGTGCAATTCAGTATTTTTCGAATATTTCGCCTGAAAAATGGGGCTAAGTAATTGGACTATTGAACATCACATAAAGAATGCAATAAAACACAAAAGTCATCTATGATAATGTATTTTTCTCTTAAGGTTTAACATCTTAAAACCAAATAATCCACACGCTGGAGACTCGAGTTTACATTGGTACATTTTATAATCCTCACTATCCTATGTTGTCGCGCCCATTCTCATTTCGAAGACAAACGCTTCGACGAAGTAATGCCTAGAACAGTAAAGGAAGCGTTTCAACAACTCCTTTTGTCTATAGAACAGACAAATTGCCTGATGGTAAGCTACCCGTGTCGCCGACAGACACCGAAGGAGACCTCACCATTGCCACGCTGGACAAACTGAAGCAGTGTGTCAGGAACCGGGACCAAACTTTTAATATTATAGGCATTCAATCATTCGTAGCGTTTGTAGCAATGACTTGTGAAGTGAATTATCAAACTACCTATCTATAGGTGAACTACTCGACAGACAGACAGACAGACAGTTACACAGCAGTAGGTACCTATATCTTAAATTACCGGGTACTTTGTTTTACTAATCATTAATTGTTAAGTTATATTATAAAAATTGTTACACAAGTATTTATTACTTAAATTTATTTTATCATTATCTTAAATATAACTCATTCAATGTTTTCTTTTTGTAATTAACTTCATAAGTCATTGTGGGTTCGATTACCGATTAATGTGTATTACAAATATATGTGGCCTAGATCGCGCGCGTCTACACCCAGTCAATGCATAGATTTCAACATCAATTAGACACTGAGACTTACTCTTGTAACTTTTCGAGCATGCTCGACTGATTACGAGCGACCACCGCGGCTCATAATCTTGCGAAATATAGCCACATACAAATGTAAGTCATCGTGTCTAATTAATTTTTCATTTATGATTTACAAAATTCTTGGTCAACATTTATAGAGACTTGTACAATGTTTTATACATTTTTAGATATTACGAGTATACCTCTTACGGCCAGCTTGAATCTGTATATTTGCTTACAAGAGAAATCATTATCATCAGTAGTGTTCACGCGAGAGAGTAACAAACATCCATCCGTACTTACAAACTCTCGCGTTTATAATATTTGTAGCTCTGGTAAGCAAATCTGCAGATCTGTACGTCCTTGAAACTGTCCGATAGACACACACAATAAAGTATATATTTTACAATAAATACTTACATAATAAGCTTACAAAAACTATATCCGATTCGAAAGTATTGACAAACAAAATATGGCGATCAGTCTAGAGTAAAAAAAAAATCGCAAAACATATTTTATAAAACTGAACAGGTTTTTGGTTTGAATTTGAACGCACTTATCTCCGAAACTAGTGGTTCGAATTGGACGATTCTTTATGTGTTGGATAGTCCATTTATCGAGTGAGGCTATAGGCTATAAAACATCACGCTACGAGCTATAGGAGCCGAGCAGCGAAGGTATAGCTAAACATGGCTGCTTTCAACTTGTACAGAATTAATACTTTCAAATCAAACATAGTATTTGAAACATATCATAAGAATCAGTCCAACAGTATTTTTATAGTCATTGTCAAATATACGTCACTATACGATTTAAGCGATTTAATATCGCTCAGTCAAGACAGTAGACGCCTTTCCCCCTACAGGATAGTAAGCAGGGAAGTACATTCACGATGCGACAACCACTTATCACCATTTACACCATGAGTCTAGTTTATGAGCCGACATTTATAATTCTAGGCAAACGGAATCTTAAATAAGGAGGTGGGGGCGTATATATATTACGTGAGATGATTAAAGGGGGGAGTCAAGTCTCATATAATCTCACGTTGGAGAGAGGGGGACAAATTGATTGAAACGAATGAAAGAAAAGAAGAAGGAGAATGCTATGGTTGTTTTTGCATTTAAGTTAATTGCCTGAGAAATACTTTTAGAAGCGAATATACACCATGTTGCTTCATCGAAAGTCGAGTCCGAAAGCCCATAGAGACTGAAATCAAACATTCTCAAGGGAACGGGAGAAATATTAAAAATAATTCCTTCATGAACAGCGAATGTATTCCCTACTGACAGACGACAGAACGAACACTAACGTTACGTTAGGTGACGATACATCGCAGCTAAATATTACAGCGAGCCATTTTCTAAGGCCGTCACTTGAATGGTGAAGGGGTTGCCATCGAAACAGACTTACTACCAGAATGGTAGGTTAGTAGGTTACAACTGCGACCCGCACAGAAATGGTGTTGCCATCGCAAATAAAAAGCTACCATCTATAGCTTTATCATTTACTGAATGACTTATTAACGGCCTAGCCGGCCAGGCAGCTAGTCTGTTTCCATAAAAACCCTTGAACTAACAAATTAAATGAGAAATCTAGTCATTCAGGTCGTTCATTGAATGACTAGCTGTTTCATTTTACATTTATATTGAACGAAACCACAGAAAGCTGACAAGAATACGCAATATTTGTGTCTTAAACTTGTTGTAATTACTGTAAAAGATTGAAACAAAACTAGCAAAGTCCTCACCAACTCGAATGCCTAGAAAAAGTGGGTAATTTTAGTGAAAAGGGGCGTGTCCGTTTACTTGTGGTTTTGCCTTAAGGCCGCGGCGATATCTCTGACGTCTAGTTGTACTTTCGGCTTGTGCTGTGGCGGCTCGAAGTAAAAGTCGAACCGTTTGAAGGATTCGATTTCCCGTTCGGACACTTCAAGTACCGATAGATTCGTTATGCTGGAGTCGGGGAGGAATACGCTCGATTCTGTCAAGGAAACAAACGTTTTTGTGTCATTCACACTGGCCCAGGGTATCATGGTATATGGTCAGATATGGTACAGACCTGGGTGCGCATGCCGAGCTCCGATGGGACCGAACCTTCGGTCATCGGCAGGCGGGGTGGCGGGGCCCGCGCCGGGGGGCAACTGGCTGACCCCACCGCCCCCACTGCTGGTAGACTGGACGGACGACCCCGTGGGGGAGCTGCGGGCTGATTGCGCTCCTGGAACGTACATATACCATGACCATACTCAATGGACATTTTGCGATAAATATTCTATAGGATTACACGCTTGTACATGTTACAGTTTGTGACGCGGACGGTACGAGCACAGAGTATACAGACCTGGTTTAATAGCAGCGGAGTATAGCTGGTCGGGCCAGGCGTGGGCCGGTCTGCTGAAGAGGGACTCCTCACACACTCCGCACTCCAGAGGGTGACCGGGCTCCTGGACACGACACACGCTATTACACCCACCATTCTATGGAGGTATAATTATATATTCATATGGTCACAGAATCTTGGACACAGCTCTAACGAATTCGATGAAATCTATACTAGTATTATAAAGCTGAAGAGTTTGTTTGTACACGCTAATCTATCTCCGGAACTACTGGATCGAACTGAACAAATGTTTTTCTGTTCGTAAGTATGTACATCACGCTATGATCTATAGGAGCTGAGCAGCGGGTGAAACCGCGTGAGAGTAGCTAGTTTTCATATATTCACAGAATCTCTATGTTACACCTATTTTATTATACATTGTGGAACGCAAATAAATAATATGAATATGAATAGAATGACTTCCTTACTACACTTGCATAACTATACTTAGCCTCCGATATTTAGTCTAGGATCAAAAGTACAATTGCACTCTACCGATGCGAAAATGTGTAAAACTTCGTTATAATACAAGTTCAAGCATCTGTAAACTCTGTCCTTAATTACTTTAGAATCTATGCTACTAATTAATCAGGCGAGGAACCTCTGACACTCAACTATAAAGAAATTTGAGACACTTTAGCATTGGTAAAGTGTAACTGCACTATCGACCCTCGTTGTACACAATTATTGTAAAAGATATGATGGCACTGTCTTTTAAATATATTAAAAATCTATCTAGGATTATTTTCAGAAAAATATTATCTATATAAACGCGAAAGTGTGTAAGTAGGGATGTACGTTTGGCACAGAGACAGATTACAATAACGCGTACAATTGGAACAGCTTACCTGCCCCTTGTAGAACTTGGAGTCAGTAACGCGGTGGATAGAAACTTCATTGTTCAGCTTCGCTCCGACTCTAAGCCTTTGGAAATATGGCAACGAGTCTCCATTCGCGACGTGCTTTAACCCTTTATCATCGCTTTTATCACTGAAAAGCGCGTTCCTGAACACGTTCCGGTCTTCCTGACCGAACGGAGTGTATAGACCGGTATACTGTTGGTCTTCTTGCTTCATAGGCGTCCCTATAGGCTCAGGCCGTTGTATCGGGTTGGCGAATAGAGATATATCCGATTCGAAGCCTCGGCTCGTGTCCGGTCTAGTTCCTATAGGATTCGGGGAAACGACAGACTTGGGGCTTTGGTTTTCCAAGTATTCCGGTGTGAGGAAGTTCCTTTGTTGCTGATCGTCGGGGGTTTTAAATAAAGAGTATCCTTCATCGTTCTTTTGCGTGAACGACGCCAAATTCATGATTCGTGTTTGGAAATCGTCGGATTTGGGTGGGTCGGCGCATTGGCTGTAACTGTTCGGGTTCACATAGTTATATTGCTGGGGGTACATGGGGTTGAGTTGAGGACTTTGAGCTCTGACGCCCATCATACTTTGTTGGTGCATCATCGTCATTAGAGGATTTCTTATAGTGAACATTCCGTTTGACGTAGGGGTGATAGTCGCTTGGCAAGCGTTCGGCGGCATCGGTATCGGGTCGGGCACTCGAATCTGTTCCTGTTTCTTCGCCGGCTGATTGCTTATCTGGACCGGTGGGAGGTTAGGATGGAACATGGGGTTCCTCAGGGTGACGATCTTGGACCCATCTTGTTTTTCTTCGGCGGCCGCGGCGGCCTTCTTGGCCTTTTTCTTGGCCTTCTTCGATTTGCCAGGCACGGGGGGCGGCTCGGCTATTATCACCGGTTTCGGCGGTTCTATGGACAAAGTTTAACAAATTAGTAACAGTACTAGAATCTATAAAGTCAAGCCGGAGTAAGGAACTCACCGGGATGCGCAGTGCTGAACATGACGTTGGCTGGGTCAGCGTTGATGATGGGCGCCGGCCTGGCCACGGGGGTCGGCGCGGCGGGGAGCTGGCCGGCCTTCCAAAGCGGCTACACACAAAACATACATACTATTACATCCACAACTCTACAAATAACAAGTTCGTTCGTCGCCTTATGATTTATAAATATTAAGCTATGTCTAGTAATACTTAAATAGCGCCATATATGGCTTTTTGAATACCAAATATAGTGAGATATACTAAATTTATTTCGAGTAAGAATACCATTGTGGAACTGGTAGAGCTCGTCTCAGTAAATTCACGTTCAGTCGTTATTGTTAATATACCTTATATGGTTCTTTGTATAAAAGAAATCTTTAAGAGTATCTAAAAATAACGAAAAGTACTTTAATTGATTGATTTCATTTCTAGCTTAGTTTTAGTTATGTATGACCTCTATTTAACATGCAGAAGAATATTTTTTTTATGTTTTCATAGAAATATATTTACGTTAGTAATAGTCCATTGAACAAAAATCAGAATTTTTGTATACTCCTCCTATCTAAAATATCCAAAATATTAACTAGGTACTTAATACATTCATGCAGCATGCTAACTTTATTTTTTATTTTATTTATGTCAATACTTTACTATGATAAATACTGTTGTACTATGTTAAATTGATTAGTTCTAGTTATTATAATTTCTATATAAGATTTTGTCTGTACAAACGCATAATTTTAAGAATGTCGGTTAGCTCGTAACTGGCAAATGTATAAGACCTACTGCCTGTAACCAATACTTCTAACTACTTTGTATACATAAGCTGTGAGCCTACCTTATTTAGTATTATATTATAATAAATAAATAAATAATAAGTATATGTTTAATAGATATATGTACCTAAGTAAAATAGTGTCTAAGACTCATTACGGTATTTAATATTACGTGTTAATAATGTACAAGAATCAAGTTTGGTTATTTAGTTACCTTTTAGATTGCTTTATGAGGAATTTTAAGATATTAATTATGTTTAACTTTAAAATAAATTAGTTTATAAGTATTTTGTAAGACTGATGGCTACACTATCGAATTGGATCATACATGTTGTTAGTGATATAAATATAATAAATATACCGGCGCCTTGTAAACTCGCGGCAAGATGCACAATACTAGTATATACTTACGACAGACTTGATAGGCGGTGGTTCCTTCTTGTCCGAGGGCTGTACCCTCGTCAGGGTTATACCTGGGGGCAGCTTCAGATCCGCTACCTGACAACAATTCACCAGTTTCCTTACAAAACAATACATAATATCACTACATAGTATAAAACAAAGTCGCTTTCTCTGTCCCTATATCCCTATGTACGCTTAAATCTTTAAAACTACGCAACGGATTTTGATGCTATTTTTTAATAGACAGAGTGATTGAAGAGGAAGGTTTATATGTATAATAACATCCATTAAATAGTGGAGACATTTAGTTTTAGCAAGCCGAGGCGTGTTGGTATTGGTAATATGTGATAAAATTTGATCATATCATATGTAACAATGTGCGGAAGCCTGGACTTGTAATTTCTAATTATGAGTTTGAAATCGGCAATCCGCCTTGAACGAGCGTGGGGGTTAATGATTAAACCTTCTGCGTGTGAGAAGAAGTCTTTGGCCGATGATGATGATCTATTGATCCTTGACCTACCTGTACTCCACAGCTGAGCTGTTCCATGATGCTGCATGAGGCTGGCTTCTCCAACTCATTGCTGCACTGGTTCTGTGAGTCACAACTATGCTATTTAACGTAAATACATTACAATGAAATAGTATTTTACACTGTTTGCGGATCACACAAAGAGGATCGAAGACGCGACTCGTTGCACGGCAGCCATTTTTATATATATATACTTAATAAGCTAATGTTATACAGAGGTAAAGTTTAGGCTATAAATTACACTTGATTTGCGTATTTTTACTTTTATACTACAAGCTAGTACGTAGATAGGTACAGATAGTGACGTTAAGCTACCTTCTTGCTAACAACTTCAATTGTGGTATCTGGAGTAATATTAATGGCTTGCGACTTCTGTTGCTGCAACTGTTGCATCTGTTGCTGTTGTTGCTTCTTGTTCTCCTTCTTTGTTGTCGCTTGTTGTTGTTGCTGCTGTTGTTGTTGGACGGGTTGTTTCGTCTTCGGCTGCGGTTGGGGCGCTAAACCAAGTATTTCAAAGTTAGGAACTGAATGCACTCGCAAGCTTATCTAGATTCAGGTATTATGATCCTAATCCTAATAATATTATAAATGTCAGAGTTTGTGTAAGTTTGTCATTCTTTAACGCGAAAATGTCTGGATAGGTGATACCCTGGACATCACACGGGCGAAGTCGCGGGCGGGAGCTAGTATGACAATATAGCGACTGATATACTGTAATATGTTATTACAATATATATAACAAGAGTCCCGCTGTGACTCGAAATTAGTAGAGCTTTTCTCAGTTAATGTTAAGAAATGCACTCACTCTTCTCCTGTTTATTTTCCTTTCCTTTCTTTTCGTTCTTCTCTGCTTTCTCCTTCTTCTTTTCTTCCTTCTTCTCCTTCTTGGTCTCCGCTTTCTTCTCTGCTTTAGTCTTGGCGGGTTCGGGTTTCGGTGGGTCGGCTTTTTTCACTTCTGCTGTCTTTTTCGTTTTCGCCTCTTGCTGTTGTTGTTTCTTCTTTTCTTCTTCTTCCGCCTGTGTATGGAGGAGAAGAATAGTTTAGTTGTTATTTAGATTTTCGAGTATATTGTGTACTTTAGTTAGTTCAAAATATGTTTTTTTGTAGTTTTTATTTTATATATTAATATAATCGCAGATATTTTTTTATATTACGTAGATAATATAACTAGTGTGTATCACTGTATTTGGACGTATGTGTTAATACATATGTGTATTATTTCGAATAAAGCCAGCTAGGTCCCTGCCTACCCCACGTACCTGTTGCTTGGCCAGCAGTAATTCAGTGGGCAGTACCACAGAGCTAGGTCCCTGCCTACCCCACGTACCTGTTGTTTGGCCAGCAGTAATTCAGTGGGCAGTACCACAGAGCTAGGTCCCTGCCTACCCCACGTACCTGTTGTTTGGCCAGCAGTAATTCAGTGGGCAGTACCACAGAGCTAGGTCCCTGCCTACCCCACGTACCTGTTGTTTGGCCAGCAGTAATTCAGTGGGCAGTACCACAGAGCTAGGTCCCTGCCTACCCCACGTACCTGTTGCTTGGCCAGCAGTAATTCAGTGGGCAGTACCACAGAGCTAGGTCCCTGCCTACCCCACGTACCTGTTGTTTGGCCAGCAGTAATTCAGTGGGCAGTACCACAGAGCTAGGTCCCTGCCTACCCCACGTACCTGTTGTTTGGCCAGCAGTAATTCAGTGGGCAGTACCACAGAGCTAGGTCCCTGCCTACCCCACGTACCTGTTGCTTGGCCAGCAGTAATTCAGTGGGCAGTACCACAGAGCTAGGTCCCTGCCTACCCCACGTACCTGTTGTTTGGCCAGCAGTAATTCAGTGGGCAGTACCACAGAGCTAGGTCCCTGCCTACCCCACGTACCTGTTGTTTGGCCAGCAGTAATTCAGTGGGCAGTACCACAGAGCTAGGTCCCTGCCTACCCCACGTACCTGTTGTTTGGCCAGCAGTAATTCAGTGGGCAGTACCACAGAGCTAGGTCCCTGCCTACCCCACGTACCTGTTGTTTGGCCAGCAGTTTCCTCTGCTTCTTGGACAGTGGCTGTTCAGGTTGCGTCGCGTTGACTTTCGCGGATTCTTTAACATCCTTGCTTGATTTGTCTTGCTGTTTCGTCTGTTCCTTGTGTTTCTTCTGTAAATGTGTCAATAAATTATTATATCTTGTTGCCTGACTAAAGTATTATTGTAATAGCAGTACAATCATTACCTTTTCCTTGTTCGTGCCCTTGGCTAGTTGGTTAATGTGCGCTAGTGCTTGCTCCCAGGTTTGCTTGCGTCCGGACGGTTCCTCGGGGACTGTGGCCACTGGAACAAACAATCATTACAAACCTTGTTCGTGTGGATATAACAAATTATAAAAAAACATAAATAGACACAGACCTGTATGCTTGGGTAGCGCAGTGGCTCCATCTGGCGGCGCCCGACGTACGCATACCATGCCACCGCCCGCCTCGCCTGGGGAAATACATTTACTAATTAACTATTTTTACTACACACAGGCAAAACTCTAATGATAACAACAAACAAAAACTCACTAATGAACGTAGCAGTAGCGGCCTGTTGTTGCTGTAGCTGTTGCTGCAAGTGTTGTTGTTGTTGTTGTTGCAGCTGTTGCTGTTGTTGCAGCTGTTGCTGTTTGTTCTGTAGCGCTGCTTGCTCCAGCTGGAAGGAGGGAGAATATGGTTGCTTTAATCTATCCTCACGCCCTCATTTCCTCAATCCCTAGCCCGCAACGGGGCTGTCGCCTTACCTGAGTATGTGTGGGCCTGTCAGGTTTGCCTTGCACGGCCCTCGACTCTGCTAACTGTCGTTCGCAATTTTGCAACCGTCGCGTGAAGTCTACAACTTGCTTTTCAGCTGCTTGCATTTCCTGTAAACGGACGGACAATATTAACACATTTTTTGACGACTTCCATTTGGATTTCGCCTGGGATTTTGCTGTAGCATTTAACACAGAATCCCATGAACGACTTGTGTAGTTTTGCCAATCTAAATAAAGGCTGACTTAATCTATCCATATGTTTAGTTTGATAGTCATGTTTGTCAGATACTTTTACAAATAACTGTAGGTTTTTCCTAACATACATAACGGTTTCGTCAACAAATTGACATGATACTGTCATAATATTGGTCTCCTTAGACTTTTCTCTGAGATTCGCGACGACCTAAGTTATAGATAGGCACTCTTACGCACGCTTTTGCAAGATAAATATAGAATCAACGTCGGATGCCTGTCCCCACAACAGAATTACATATGATATGTATGAGGCTGTAAAAGTAGCTAAAGTACACTAGTCGTGCTGTGCCTACGTCGGTTAACTGTCGGATCTTCCAGACAGCATAAGCTGCAGAGCTCAATCGTCCTGCTAGAGAGATCTGATATGTTAGCTTGTCGTCTTCAGTCATTCCCAGGAAAGTAGTCACCTTAATTAATTCCAATTTCTGATCATATAATACATTCAGTCAACAAAGTATCGGGAATGAATGTTTTTTTTATGGTTCCAAATTCGAATTTTTCCATTTTGGCGCGTAATTTGAGTTGCATCTGTTATTTATATTAAAAACAGTGCTGTTTTTAGTTTTATAATATCTAGTGTGTATTGCGAATTTCATAATGGACAAAAACATCGAACAAAGAGTTTGTCTTAAATTTTGCACCGCCAATAAAATTTCGTGTTCGGAGGCACTCAAAATTTACAGAAGGCTTACGGTGAATCGACTTTATCAAAAACACGTGCTTATGAGTGGTACAAAGCGTTCAAAAGCGGTCGAGATGTGATGGAAGATTTGCCTCGTTCTGGTAGGCCATCAACGTCTGCAACTGAAGTTAACATCGCAAAAGTGAAGGAAATAGTGACTGAAAATCCTTATTCAAGTTTGAGAGAGATGGCCGCCGAACTTTCTGTATCTCACGAGTCGATCCGTACCATTTTAACAAATAATTTGGGTATGAAACGTGTTGCCGCTCGGCTAGTCCCAAAAGACCTGAATTTTCTTCAAAACTAAATCGCATGAAAGTCGCTGAGGACATGCTAGAACGAGTCAATACCGACCCAACATTCATGAAACGCATTGTTACTGGTGACGAGACGTGGGTTTACGAGTTTGACATGCAAACTAGTCAACAAGCTTCGGAATGGCGCCTTCCATCTGAACCAAAACCGAAAAAACCACGTCAAAGTCGATCAAAAATCAAAGTCATGTTGACTGTTTTCAAACGGTAAATAAAGAATATTATTTGAGCGTTATGCGGCGTTTAAGAGAACAAATTCGACGAAAAAGGCCAGAAATGTGGAAAGAAAATTCTTGGATTTTGCATCACGATAATGCGCTTTCGCACAAGGCCATCATTGTAAACGATTTTTTGTCCAAACACTCAACAAACACCATCGAGCAGTCACCAGATATGGCTCCAGCCGACTTCTTTCTTTTTCCCACACTCAAATTACCCCTTCGTGGCACCAGTTTTCAATCGTTAGAAGACATAAAGGAGAATTCGCGGCGAGCACTGAACTCAATTCCGGAAACAGCGTTTAAAAAAAGTTTCGATGATTGGATTATTCGTTGGCGTAAGTGTATCGTTTCTGAAGGAGCATACTTTGAAGGTGATCAAATAAATTTAGATTAATAACAAACATTTTGTGTATTATTGACTTTTTCCCGGCACTTTCTTGACAGAGTAGTATATCATCACATTTTTACTTTAATATTTGCCAAAATTAATAGATAGTTTTTCGTCTTTTTTTCGTTTAGTACTAAGTTGTAAATACATTTTGAATGTTCATTAAAACTTTATTAACTTCGTCCTAATTATTAGTTTGTATGTTTATTTAAAAATATAGAAATGGGTTATCAGCGAATTATATTGTATTTGATTCATTTTGAAATAAATGTGGCATGTCATTCACATATACCAAAAATAGATTTGGACCTAATATTGAGCCCTGCGGTACGCCTATCGATATTCTAGCATCCCGTGGGTGTACTTTGTAGATTTGAACTTTAAGCTATGTTTTCTGAAGGTATGACCTAAATAAATGCTGAAATATCACATATACAATCATTACATATGGCTCTGGATGAAATATCGTTCGGGCCACCACGACATTGCTTGGTTAAAAACAGAAACGTACCTTGGAAGTAGTGTTCATGAGTACGGTGAGTTCTCCGAGCTGTTCAGCTACTAGTTGTACTTTAGCTTGCTGCGCCGGGTTCAGCTTTTGTTTTTTGCCTGCGGATACAAGGTACGCGTGAGTCGGGGTATGTGAGAGCGTCGTGTAGAGTGAGGCAGGTATATAGTTACCTTTCTTGTTGTGTTGGTGCAGCGTGGCGCGCGTGGCGTCGAGGCGGCGGCGCGCGGCGGCGTGCGCCACGTGCAGCGCGTCCAGCTCGCGCCGCGCGCGCGCCAGCTCGTTCGCCACCGCCGCCCGCTCCGCCAAAAGTCGACTCTCCAACTAAACATACAATAACCACGGACTACGATCACAGCTCAGTTCACTCAAGTAGAACAAGAGATTCTTTGTGAAGAGAGAAATCATCAAATTACTTCTCCCGCCCTGGGTCAGGCGAGAGGAAGTGTCAGACTCTTACTGACTAAAAACCGCCCCGCTCCTTCTCCTGCTCTACGCCAAGGCCGCTATGCTTTATTGCACTTGCCACGCAACCTTGATAGACCTCGTCTGTAGTGAAGAGTATGCAGTAACGAACTTATCGTTATAAACTACATTATTTCGACATATCAGCGATAATAATAAATATACCATACCCTTGACTTTCTGAAAGAACCAAGCTAAGGCATGCATGGGACAGCTAGACAAGGCCTCAGAAGGCCTTAGAGAAAACGCGAAACATGTATCGCCAAAATCGATCCCAATTTGCCTTACTTTTGGCATCACGACTAAACGCTTAGATCGATTGCGATAATTCTTTTTAGGCTGTGTTTGCTGAGATCAGGATATTTATTCAGAGATTTTTATGGAAGACAATTTTAGAAAAGTAGAGGTAGATTATTGGAAAGAAGTAACCTTTTCCATGCTGTAGCTATTCGCTAACAAAACAAATGACTGACATTGAGGTAGCCGGAAGACCCGTAGAAGCAGGGCGGAATACACTAGGAAATAAATTATAATCCATCGACAGATAGAACTTAGATCTTTGTACATAACCTCTGCATACACAAACAGAAATTTAAGACCCAACAACATACTTTTTCCGAGTAACACGTACTTTCTATGATTATCTAGACACCGCTGACATACGGCGAAGGAAAACATCGCGAGGAAACCTGGGCCCCGAGTCTACTATTTTCAAAGTGTTGTCATTCCTACACGATTCCATTGTCATTTTGCTGTAAGTTCGTAATCTGTTAATTCAAAATGGCTGATAATTGGCGTTCGGCGATGTCGTAATAGAATTACCAATTATTATATTATTTCAATGAATTGGCATTGGAAAGTCATAATGACGCTATCAACAAGTTTGAAATCAATGATCTACTATTCTGACACTATTGTAATAGCAGACTCGAGGCCCTGGTCTTATAGCACTTTGAGCAAGCGCTGTGATTAATGCTTCAAACCTTCTCCGTGTGTGAAGACGCTTGTGCTCAGCAATTGGCACTTATAGGCTGATGATGAATTCAAGACCAATCTATCTAATAATCTATTTGCTGTGATTTGAATAGCATAACAATAGTTTAGGTATTAACCTGTGATTTCAACATTTTCAGTACATAAAATACGGATCCAGAAGACCCGCTATAAGTGAGACACAAGTTTTGATTGATAGTTTTAGTGCAGATCCAGGAGTCTCTCAATCAGGTGTAAAGGTCTGTCAGAAATCGAAGTCAAAATCATCCCAACTAAAAAATAAATAGGTACTTCTGAAACGGCAAAATAGAATAAGTCTGTCAGTCTGTAAGTCAATGAAGCTAGGTGCTCGTTCCAAAGTTTAGATTCGAATGGAACGAACGAGAAAGGAACCTCCCTTAATCTCCCAAATTAGGGACTAGGGGGAGGGAACCCCAAAAAAATACTAGTAGTGTAGCCTGTGGGTTTTTATGTGATAGTTCGGCGAACGAGATCGGATTACCTAATGATAAGCAATCAGCGCCGCCTATGGACATCGGCAACGACGGAGGAGTTACGAGTGCGTTGCCGGCCTTTTGGGGATTAGGGATTCGGAGATTTTGGTAATAAGGAGGGATTGGGGGAGGGGGAGAATTAGGCCTCCGGTTACCTCACTCACACGGCGAAACAGCGTTGATTTAGAGATCTTTTCGAAAAACTCTTCCAATCTCAACCAAAATAAACGAAATTATATTGTAGGATACAATTTTTTCTACATATCGAAGTCTTAATTGGCAAATCAGCTAATTCCTTAGGAGCAATTTTTTACAGAGAATTTAAACTTATAGTATTTTTCGTAGAGTACATAAATAAAGAAATTTAAAATACAGTAGAATTGAAAGATATTAACCTAAATTCATATTTTTAATACTGTCCGATCTTTTGGTATTTTCTCACAAAACTAAAGGTTTTTTATGTGTAATCTACCTACCTTAATTGTATCTCTCCAACTCTACCTATCCTACCCTACTCTACTTCCCCTACTCTACCTACCCTACTCTACCTCCCTTACTCTGCATACCCTACTCTACTTACCCTACTCTGCCTACCCTAGTCTACCTACCCTAGTCTACCTACCCTACTCTACCCACCCTACTCTACCTACCCTACTCTACCTACCCTACTCTACCTACCCTACTCTACCTACCCTACTCTACCTACCCTACTCTTCCTACCCTACTCTACCTACCCTACTCTACCTACCCCACTCTACCTACCCTACTCTACCTACCCTACTCTACCTACCCTACTCTACCAACCCTATCTACCCTACTCTACCTAACAAACACTACCTACTCTATTTATCCTGTCCTTCTCCCAGTTCCAGCCACTGAGCTCGATGTTCAGCTCTTCTCATCCAACCACTGCCAGCCACCCTGCGGATGTCGTCAGTCCACCTAGCTGGAGGGCGCCCTACACTACGTTTGTCTAGACGCGGTCTCCACTCTACAACACGTTTACTCCAGCGGTCATTTTGTTTTTAAATATTTCTTATTTGTATATTTGAAACTTTTATTTAAGACAATATTTTATTACCTACTTGTATAGGTTGGTCACCCGACTCGTTATTGGGCTAAATCTCTAAAGCTCTCACAATAAGTATCTAGTTTATTCTGAGATCAAAGTAACTATCGTATTTCTCAAGGTTAATGAAACCTTCGGCTTCGGCCGAAGGTTTTGGTAAATACCTTTGTGAATACCCCAATCCTTTCCCAATCCATGAATCCCCAAAATCCCAATCCCTAAAAGGTCGGCAACGCACTCGTAACTTGCGGGTGT